ACACTTGTAAAAAAAAAAAATTCCATAATTTTTAATATATTTTTAATTTTCCTTCTGTTTAGCGAAGATCTTTAGCTACACTTGTAAAAAATATTTTCCCATAATTTTTAATATATTTTTAATTTTCCTTCTGTTTAGCGAAGATCTTTAGCTACACTTGTAAAAAAATATTTTTCCATAATTTTTAATATATTTTTAATTTTCCTTCTGTTTAGCGAAGATCTTTAGCTACACTTGTAAAAAAAAAAATTCCATAATTTTTAATATATTTTTAATTTTCCTTCTGTTTAGTGAAGATCTGTAGCTACACTTGTAAAAATATTTAATCATAATTTTTGTCAAAACAGATTATTGCAGTACATTTTCACAAAATAAAAATACTATTTCTTTCTATGTCAAAATTTCTCATTTAATTCAGTGTGTTACTTGCTGTTTCTTTGTAATTAATTGTGAAATGTACTAGCAATCTCACAGTGAAAATTGTTTCTGCACCATTTTTTTTCCACTATGCATCGATTGATATTGCACAAGGCATCCTATTTTAGGCAACTGATCAGAAAGTGTTACTTTAGAGCAATAAGACAAACTGCTAAGCCTCTGTCTTTCTCTGCCGCTTCTCTCTCAGGATGTACACGGCTGCAGAGAGCGACAGACTGACGCCCTCTCCTACTGATTCTCCGCGGTCGCACCAGATTGTCCCCGGCGCCCGCTATGCAATGCAGCCCTTCTTCCAAGACCAGTTTGTAAACAACCTGCCGCAAAACCACCGCTTCTACGGCAGCGAGCGCGCTGTGCCACAGACCAACGGCCTGCTTTCTCCTCAGAGTGAAGACTCTGCTGCAGGCTCGGCTTCGGCTCAGCGCTGGTTCGTGGGGCCCGTTCAGCAAAGCGGGGTGTCTGGTAAACTGGACCTGTCCTATGACAGCGAGTACTCGGCCTCCAGCCTCCTGCCGTATGGCATCAAGCCGCTTCCGCTGCAGAGTCCGCATGCACTCAGCTATTACCCCGACTCGGCCTTCGCTTCCATGGCGGCCGGCTGGAGCAGCAGAAGTTCGTATCCGAGGAAGATGACCACCGGCCTGCCTTGGTCGCCCCGGCCGAGCCCTCCGGCGTACACCGACGACCTGCTGTCCTCTAAAGACAAGCTGCAGGACGAGAGCTCCACGGCGGCCCCCACAACTGGCCCCTGGATGGAGGCCCCGCCGGTACTGAAGGCCGTAGACTCGGGGGACACCAGCGGATACTCGATGGTGTGTAAGAGGCGGCGCATTTCGCCTGGAGGTTCCAGTACAGATGCTTCACCCACTATAAAGTGTGAGGACTTGAGCACTGAGGAATACAACAAAGAGAGCCATAAAGCCATGGGTTATTACGCCTTCTACACGAGCCCTTAAGAACTGCTTATTCGGGTTGATTCTCTCTCTTTCTCTCTCTTTATTTTGTTTGAAGTGATCTGCCCATGTTGTGTTTTTGATCTTTTAATCTGCAAGTGCCAAAGCTTTCGTGCTCCCGGTTGTGCTTGTTCATTTTTTTGCTCATTTGTGAAACACGCTTCATTTTAATGAGGTTTTTACTTTTGATTCTTTTTATAGCATGCCCTTAATTCTTTTTAATCATATTTTTCTATGAAGCCCGATGTGATTTTCCTTTTATTTAAGATCCCTCTGTTGTACAGTATTTGTGCACTTTAGATTGTGATGTATCTTGTACAAATGTTCTCATGGCACTGTTATGAAAGGTGAAATAAAATGTGCTTTTCATACTTTCTTTGTCTTTATTTGCACTGTAATATTAACACTTCTATCTTCATTTTTAAATATATGTAGTCTGTATTTCCTGTGTGATTAGAAAATCTCATTTGAAATTAGACTTATTCATGAGCCTGTTCATTAGAAAAACTATTACAATGAAATTCGTTAATTTATTTAATATTGTACACCACGTCGTGTTTTAAACGTTCAGTTTACAACATGAACACGTAATATTTTAATAAACCAACAGATGTTTCGCGAGGCAACGATCGAAACGTTTGTAAAGCACACAGAAAATTATTCCTGTGGCTCAGTGGTAGAGCATTGCGTTGACAGCGCAAAAGGTCGTGGGTTTGATTCCCAGAGAACACACATACTGGTAAAAAATGTACAGCCTGAATGCACTGTAAATCGCTTTCAATAAAAGCGTCTGCTAAATGCATAAATTATTATGAATTATTAAATTAGAAAAAAATGCGTTTTGGGTTGATTTTGAAATATAACTAATATTTGCCATTTAAGAATTATCTAAAATTTCTGCAATAAACCAACGATCAGTTTTGTTTTTAGAATGTTTTTATTTTTGATGAATAATATTCTAAATCTTAAATGTCAACAGAATCGTTCTTTTTAAATGTTGCATTGAACAACAGTGTAGTCTAATTATTCTTAGAGATTCTATTCGTTTTCTCCAGAAACATCATGATGGATCTCGATCTCCAGATCAACCACAAACGCACCGTTATGTCTTTATTTGAACGCCTGCGTGTCGCATTTCTTTATTTTGAACGTGTTCTGGTGAGCAGGAGTTTGTCGCCTGTATATTCAGCAGCTTTTCCCGGAGTTATTTCGGATCACACGAAACGCATTTCTGAGTGAACGTGACAGAGGAAGTCACTGCAGTTCCTCATTTGCTCTCTTCGTCTTTTATGCCACTATTTTCTGCGCTTTAGATGAAAGAGGCACAAATACATTTTCCTTTTTAACCCCTGCTGAACACATTTAGAGCTGCTTCTGTACAGTGACCGCACGATTGTACTTCCAATGCATTCAACACTTTGTCCGAGAAATATAACGCATTATGTTGTTCAAAATATTCACATTTATTTGTATAGCGCTTTTCACAATACACATCGTTTCAAAGCAGCTTTACAGAAAATGCATGTTCAAAATAGCATTCTTTTTTTTTTTTTTTACAGCATTTGTGCTTTTCAAGAACCCATACACCTAAAGATCTTATAATTAAACATCAACAGCTTATTAAAATGTGTGCTTTATGTTGTTTTGAAGACTTTATTTTTAAAAGCGCAGGTGATCGAAAGGCTGAACTATCTTTAAAGACCTTTCCTACATTTCTGACACATTGCATTTTATTCATTGAGGAGGCAATTGATTTCCTTCCTGCTGTATTTTTCGGACGAAGCTCAGTGAAAGTGTGAATGTTACGCATCAAATATGAGATGCTGGTCGTGCTGATAAACTTTCTAAGCAAGATGCACGAGGTTGGGCCCATATTTGGCATGCATGTTTAATGAGAATTGGACCCTCTCGGAGCTCTGCTCCGTCTGTCAGCTCACAATCCTTCCTCATCAGCGAATCCCTCTTGAATTCATTTCAATGCCCCGGTATTTTTAAGTCTAATGAATTCTGTTGTCAGACTTCTTGACAGAAAGCGAAGACTCCGACTAACTCCAATTAACACCTTCTAATGATGCTGAGCTCCTGATGGCGCTGAGATCATCTGCCCCGGGCGGGGTACTGATGGGGGTAGCGGGGCTAAAAATGTTCTGCGCTCCTTCATCACCCGTGTCAGCGAATCCCAGACGGGATCACCGCGATCCGCTTCGCGCAGCGTGTACGAACTCCTGCATCGCTGCAGGTTTACTTTGAGTTTGTGAGTCTTACAAGACAAAAGTGTGCCACTTAATTTGAAAACAGTCTTTTCTTAAAGATATTTTCTTAATTTAGTGTCTTTCAGTCCATGCCTGTTAGCTTTTAAGTCACTTTATTTATTTTTTTACGTAATAACGTAAATTACGCAATTTTTTTTTGCGCCATTTGTAACGTGAATGTGCGAGACTTCCGGTGTCCTTTGCTTATTTTATCTGTCTAAAACAATCCGTTATGCTGCTTGATATTGCAAACTGGTATTTGCTATCATATTATTTTAATGTATTATCATAATCATAAACACACTGGTTTGTAGCGCAAACAGTTTTAATGTTTACTGCACTTTGTTATTCTACTATAGCAGCTAATAAACCGGAAGTCTCGCACATTCACGTAAATATTATGCAAAATAAGGTGGGCATGCTGTCTACAATGTCTGTGTGCTCCTGGAAGATGACAAAAACAACTTTAGTGTTGCACATTTAAAATTTACAGTTTTTTTGGAAAACAGACCAAAAATATTGATAATAATCAATAATCTAGATTAAGAATGTACCTCCCAAACATTATAAATACCACCTTCTGTAACTAACTGAAGCAAATAGCAAATCATGACTCATGCCACATAAACTAAGTTTATAGGCCTTGAGCTCTTGATTATCTTGATTTCTTGCTCCAATAGGAAACATGTAGGCTAATCAAACATGAAACTATGCTTGTTTGCAAATTAATTGTGACTAAAATTGACTCAAGGGCTATGTGGAGATTATGTCAATGATACACAGCACACATGCTAACATTTAGATTATATGCCACACTTCTAAGGAGTTAATGGTTTTGCAGTGACTCATCTCAGTAGAGATCTGGTGGCTGATAAAATGTAGATATGAAATTATGTTGTAGTGGCATGCTTTTTTTATTATTTCCCCACCTCTAAAGGAAAGTTTTCTCCTTGTGTCGTCGTGGCGCTTTGAGATTGAACTGGAGGATGTCTTGATCTTGTCTTGTTCGTTTAGCTAATGGATCACATGCACACATGACCCTGAGCTTTGGGAGGACAGGAACTGTACTCTTACAACGAGTCAATCGACTGCGACACTAACACGCATTAATGCAGGAACTCAACTAATCAATAGACACTTCACCTGCACTCTGCATGTCGAGAGTCACAGCATGTAAACGAGGAGAGAAAAACACGACCCGTCTAATCCTGGGCCATCAGACACCTGCAGGAATTTCCAAAGAGGAAGTGATCCGGATTCACTCCAAATCGCTTTTATACTACAAAGGCTTTATGTTTGAACCAGTTTGGCACATGCCAACATCATGAAAACAGCAGGACCTCTGAGAAACACTGCATGGTTGGCCTAAAGCATGAACAATAAGAGCAGCAGCATGTGAAAGTTGAGATTAAGACACAAAACAGTCCATTTTTATTGTTCATTTAAGTAATTTCTTGTTTATGGCTGATATGACACTGATTTTGGAATTTATACGGACTACTATCTGTCAGCTTTGCCTCATGCAAAAGCAAACACTTTTAGTTACAAATGCAATTTATCACCCATGATTCATTTATTCTATTTATATATTCTATTCAAGAAGAATTTAAGTTTTAGGTGTAAAACTTTGGAAAACATGAAGTTAGTATTCATTTAAGTACAAGCATTAAATAGAAAGCTAAAAATGGGGAAAAGCTAATTGCCCCATGTGACTTTTCATGATGCAAAAAATATGCATATGCATATATATATATATATATATATATATACTTGAGTGTCATCAGCATAGCAGTGATATGAAAAGCCATGTTTCTGAATGACAGAACCTAGTGATGCCATGTAGACAGAGAAGAGAAGTGGTCCAAGTACTGAGCCCTGAGGCACCCCAGTAGCTAGATGTTGCGACTTGGACACCTCACCTCTCCAAGATACCTTGAAGGACCTATCTGAGAGGTAAGACTCAAACCACTGGCGTGCGGTTCCTGAGATGCCATTTTCCAATAGGGTTGACAGGAGAATCTGGTGGTTCACCGTATCAAAAACAGCAGACAGATCCAGCAAAATGAGTATAGAAGATTTGGAAGCCGCTCTTGCCAGTCTTAGGGCTTCAACAACTGAAAGCAAGGCAGTCTCGGTCGAATGTCCACTTCTGAAGCCAGATTGGTTGCCGTCCAGGAGGTTGTTCTGTGTGAGAAAGGCTGAGACTTGGTTGAACACAACTCGTTCAAGTGTTTTTGCAATGAAAGGTAGAAGGGAAACCGGTCTGTAATTCTCTAAAAGAACTACAATAATATTCTAATAATATTAGAAGGATTTGGAGTAATGACTGGAGTAATGATGCTGAAAATTCAGCTTTGATAACAGGAATAAATTATATTTTAAATTATATTAAAATAATAAACAATATTTCACAATATTACTGTTTTATTGTATTTTTAATCAAATAAATTCAGCATTTGTGGGTAGAAGTGACTTGCTTTGAAAACATTAAAAAAATCTTAATTATTCCAAATTTTTTGACCAGTATGAATTAATAATGTAAACAACCGTGGAACATCTCTTCTGTTTCACGAAATAAAGAAATAAACTACATGAAGGTAATCAAATGACGACAGTCTTCATTTTTGGGGTGAACTATCCCTTTAAGACCCTCAAACATCATTAACACACAGTGAAACAGTCCTTTAACACGGACTGAGTGAATGGACATGTAGCTTGCAGGAGGAGGTGTGGGAAATGAGAAAGAACTGAGATCAGTCTGTTCTCAGATTAATCTGACTCTTTAGGCTGATTTGAGGAGGTCAGGTCTGTTGTGCTGGGTCGTGATCACACAGATTGTCCAGCAGTATCCTGGTCTATGTGTGTGTATATGGTCTGGGTCAGTAGTGCGTGAATAACAGTGCTGGGGTCTGAAACTGTCCCCTGCTCAGACCTGCACTTAACACTGAATTGATTTCAGACACCCCTTGCCGTCCTGGGAGGGTCCGGGCTTTACCGCTGGAGAACAACCCCAACACACACACACACACACTGTAAAATCAAAATTCTTCATAAGGCTGAACGCACCAGCACTGATTTAGAAGAACAAAACGCTGGATATG